AACGTAGATCTCGGGAGCTTGGGACATCGGCCCCAGTTTTTCATCTTTTCCCGCTTTGGAGCACAAGACCGAGACCTTGTTTAGATGACATCAAAGTTTTAAGTTTTTTCACTCTCTTTTCATCACATTAATTTTTAGACACATACATAGAGCATTAAATATAGATAAAAAAAATAACTAATTGTACAGTTTGGTTGTAAATCACGAGACGAATCTTTTGAGCCTAGTTAATCTATAATCGGACAAAGTTTGTCAAATACAAATAAAATATGCTATAGGGTCCAGATTACAAAAATTTGCAATCTAAACATGGCGCGAGCGTGTCCATTTGATAATTGCCACTTTGACTGCACCTTTCTCGGGAAACAAAATTTCTCCTGCTCCACGCGACCACGCCTCCACCGCCTCGCCGAGTAGTATAAAAATCTTGGTGTGCTTCAGCAACCGCCGGCAGTGCATGCTCTCGCTTGGCACATCCAATGATCATTGATACCAAAAGTTTCATGGATCCAAAGCACAAGACCGAGAACCCTACAATCAAACAGACTTGTTCGCTTGCTCATAAACAATAATAAATTTTAGTTGGGAACAGTGTTTTTTCTCACACCAAACTAGCCAGCAGTAAATAATCCACGATACGATACGGTCTCCCGAACAGGCTGAAACAAGGCTCCATCTGGTGCCAGCCCACTTGTCTCTGATGGACAATGCCAAATATAGGGCCCGTTTGGTAGGGATCTAGATTCTTCTAGAATTGTTTTAGACCTAGATTCTCTCTAGCAACGTTTCTATGTTAAAATAGGAATCACTCGGTAAGAATCGATAAAACGTTTGGCTATTGATCCAGATTCTCCTTCAAATAAGGCCTTGTTTAGTTGGCGAAAGTTTTTGAAAAATGGTACTGTAGCACCTCCGTTCTTATTTGGTAATTAGTGTCCAATCATAGTCTAATTAGGCTTAAAAGATTCGTCTCGTGAATTTCGTCTAAACTGTGTAATTAGTTTTATTTTTTATTTATATTTAATGCTTCATGCATGCGTCCAAAGATTCGATGTGACAGGAAATATTGAAAAATTTTGCAAAATTTTGAGAACTAAACAGGCACTAAACTAGAATCACTGCAAAACACCTATTTGGGTGATTCTCATTCCTATTGCAAAAATGAGAAACGTTTTTCTGAGAATCCAAAACATTTATGTCACCTATTTGGATGTTTGGCAGCGATTTTGGTGATTCACCTGAGAATCTAAAACGTTTAAGTCATCCAAAGGGCCGTAGTATGAAAACTACAAGAAAAAGTGGAGCTTTGACATTTCAAATACATATTGGACGTTAATGTGTGAGGCATAGGCGCATAGCAGATTAAGATTTTACTCCTGGTCTAAACTACTCGTTGTTTTTGCATGATAACTAACTTGCTTTTATAGAGAAGATTAATCGAGGGCAAGCCCAACGTGCACTCCCCGAGCCAGCACCAGCACCGCACTGGCACTGCTCACAGGTCGTCAGGCTGGCTGCGTACAGATACAGTCAACCAGATAAAAACCGAGGAAAGCGCACTGTCATGCTGAGTAGTTGGTAGCCTGCATGCTTTGGCGCGTGTGTGGTCCTATCCTAACCTCTGATTGGTAGCAACTTGAAAAGCGCAACGCTCGCCACGGCTCACTTTACCTCCCTGCTTTTGGCTTATGTCTCCTCTCTCTCCTCCGCCTTTTCCTTCCGGGGCCACTGTTTGCTACAGTGATTTTCTCCCACCACAAAGCAGCAGCATCTCGCTGCCGATCGGAGTAGTTGTTGATAACACGGGCTGCCGGGCTGGTCCAGTCCATCACAATCTGCCGCCCGCCCGAGCGCGCCCTACAATGGCAATGTGCGCCTGTCAAAGAAACGGGGCTGGGGGAGAAAGGGGGGAAAAGGGCGACACATCATTGCGTGGAGTCGGCTAAAGCCCTCGTAATCATGCCCGGCAAGCGTTCATGGCGTGAATCATGCAACACCCAACCTGACCTGGCTCTGAAAGCTTTTTACAGATACACATACGGCACTCGCAATGCGCCATACGAAGGCGATCGGACACATCGGCAAAGCTTGCCGACCTTTCGCTGCTCGCAGACTCGCAGTCTTGTATCGGCAGCCGCTGTGCGCACTCGCTGCAAATGCGCTGCACATGGCGCGTTTCGTCCGTTCCAGTGCCAGCGCACGCCCAGGCTCGGCAGCCCGCACGCCGCCGCGGCGTCATTTTCTTCTTCTCCGCCCGGGCCCCGCCGGTGGCGATGGGGCGGCCGCGGTTCGGGGGAAGCACGAAAGAATGATTCGGCCACAAGGGACGATAACGGGAGAATGTCTTCAGATTCCCGAGTCCGGCCTGCTAAATAAAAGTAGGGGCTGGACAGTGCAGCTGCAGCGCATGTGGTAGCAGCGTGGGCATGGGGAGACCGTTAGGGCGAAGGTGGATAGCCGTTGGCAACGGTGCACGTTCGGATCTTCCCGCCGTCCCGTCCTGCCAGCGCTCCGCGGCGGAGGAACCGCACATGCTGAATTTTGCACCCCCTTTTCCCGCCTTTATTGGCCGGGCGATTGGGCCACCGACGGTCCAGATGGAGACACCGATGAACAGCCAGGGTTCGTACGCCTGCGAGCGCTTAGCTCGCTGGAGTAAACATACTGTAAGTCTGTGAGCAAGTACCACGAAGCGCCGTGCACGCGTAGGGTGCCGGACGGTGCGTGGCATGGCATGCACGGCTTTGGTGGTGCGCGGGGGCCGGCAAAATCCTGCGTCCTTGGCTTCTGCCCCCAGGCGGCCAGGCTCAGGGAATGGCGCGCCGCTTGCCGCTCGGGCGGCACTCGTTGCGCCCGTGAGCCCGAGCAGCCTCTGCGGAACCCGGACCGGCCCAGAATTTGCCGCAGATCTTGTTGGGATCCGCTGCTAGCCTGCTACGGAGAGGACCGCGGCCGTGTGGTGTGGGCGCCGCGAACCGCGAAGCAAACGCTGCCAGATCTTGGGGTTCTGCGCCGCTGCCGACCCGCGGCTGGAGAAGCGGCGGCGTGGACGTGATAGCGATTTCTCAGGGGAGAAACAGACGGGTTCTCGCTGCTTTTTCTCTCCTCGCCGGCCCCGCGGTCTGTTGCCTGTTGGGTTTGGTATTCGTACGGGTCCCCGCCGTTGCATCACGGACTAGCTGATCACGTCGTGGACCATCGGCCGGGCCGCGGGCCGTCCCCGGTTTTGGTGTGGCGTCGTGGTCCTGTGGATTTGGAGTTATGTCCTCCGACTCCGAGCTTGCACCACGACGGGGACGAGTAGATGAATGGCAAGGTCAATGGCCGCATTGCGTGCCTTTAATCAATTCAACTCGCTGAAAAAGAACGGCGGATGCCATTGTTATCAGCTTTACAGCCGGTGCTGTGGCGATTTACTACCGGTTTCGGTGTAGCTTTCGGCGGTCCCGGCCCAGTTAGGACAACAGATCAGTGAAGTTGACAAGTCGAGAGTGGCCACCACCATTAGGAATTGATGTGAACTCTGGTACATGGAAACATGGTAGCAGGTGGGCATCAAAGCACGTACTAGCTGCTCCGTCAAGTTTTACGACCGGCTGTACACACAGACACACACAGTGGATGATAATTACTACTACGTCCCATAAAAAATCGCTACGAGACTCGCACTGGTTAAATCTTTTTAAGTTTTACTAAATTTATGCCAAATCTTAGCAATATTTGTATGTCTAAAAATTTTTATTATGAAAAATATATTTAACGATCTATCCGACTGTTATGTTTTTTCTTTTTCAGTTGCTTCTGTTACCACGGGAAAACATTACTACCGATAGAGTTATGGAGCTGAAGTAAAAGAAAAACGGTTTCACCGGTGACGTAGAGACGTGTCAAATGAGAGCGGCATGTAGATCACGATACTCGATCTGACGTTACCACGGAGCGGTGCAATACTGCTCGTCTTATCCCCACCTCTGCCGCTGCGCAGTCCAAAGACCAGACCAGCAGCAGCAATGGCAGAGCTGCAAAGCCGCGCCGCATCGTGCCTACGTGGTGGTACCGCGCTAGAGCTCATGGGCAGAGCAGACAGCAGAACCTGTGGATATGTAGCGACGCTTCAGTGATACAGATCTGGAGAAGTGGAACAGACCGGTGACGAACCGATGGCGCCCCATGTGCAGCGACGCGACGCAACGCAACGCAACGCCAACGCCACTTTTCCGGTTATTCGCACGCTTGTCGCGCGTGGCGCGGCGAGGAGTGCCCGCTACGCTTGTTTTGTTTGCGCTCTTTTACAACAGGATCTAATTGCTGCGCATATCGACTTCTCGTCTCGTTCTCATTTGATAGCTAAATCCCTGCCCCCCTTCCATTCTTGTTTTAACAACAAAATCCAGCTGCTGTGGCAACTGATAAAGATCATGTGCAGTTGTGTACTCTCACCTTGCTTTGACTCGGAAACTTAAAAGCATTATGGCTTTTATCACACTGGAATGAATGATGCGCAGCACCGCAGCACCAAGTGCAGAAGATGATGCAGAGCATCTCATGAGTTCCGGCACCTTGGCAAGTATATCATGGGATGCAACTCATCTACTTGTCATGATTCAAGTACTCATAGTGAAGCCATGGTCATGGACACGAAGAATAAAGTGCGGTATCCTCTTTTCTCCAGCTTTCCTCGTTTTCTTTCTTTCTTTTTTATCAAATGAAATGATGAACAAAGCAATGTGTAATCATCCAAAACATGGAGACAGTTTCATACAGGCTACTATACTTGAACAGCTTTTCGTGTATACAGAAAAGAATTGGCATCCTCGTTTTTAACAGGGGCAACTGCTACAGAGAGCAAAGGTGTGCATACTATCCGAAAAGAAAAGAAAAAGGAGCTGGGTCTCAGCTTTCGGAAGAACCAGATGATTACGCTGTTCTACTCTTGTTTTGCTGCTCTTAACATACAGTGTGTACCGATCCAATGGATTGCTCTAGCAGAAGATATTTGGTTAAGATTTGGAAGACCCAGTTTTGTTATTTCTGACCAAATTTTGGACAAAGAGCTCTCCTGCACGGTAGGAAGACCGAACCTGATAAAAATCAAATGATATAAAGTGAGTTCTTGTTACTTATATGAGAAGTATCATGATGTGTGGTACTTTAGCTATACATTATAGTGCCATTTATTTCACATTGGTGGCATATTGTTTTTTTTTTTGGGGGTATTTGCCGTTTAGAGTGTAAAACTGGAGGGAGTAATCAGCTGCATGTAAGCACTTACCAAGGGCCCGCTAGCAACATATCGGAAACCAACCGATTCTCCATACTCCTTCCAAAACTGGAACTTTTCGGGAGTCACATACTCTCTTACTGTTAGATGTCTTTCTGTTGGCTGTGATACCAATAGTTCCAATGTTAATAACAAGAAGAAGGGATGACAGGATATCTAGATTCAATAAGTGCTGCGGGCATTGAGCTAACCTGCAAGTACTGGCCCAAAGTAAGGATGTCAACACCAATTGCCCGTAGATCCATCATGGCTTGTTTCACTTCTTCATCAGCCTCTCCAAGACCAAGCATGATAGAAGACTTTGTAATCATTCCCTCCCTGCAATCTTTTGCATGCTTGAGAACTGCCAAGCTCTGATCATACCTGTAAACATGAGGCGACAGAAGAGATGTTTACAATGTCAGAGATCATGATTCATCAGATAGAACAAAAAGTACAAAGGTTAGCTGGGCATTGCCAGAAGATACTAGTTTAATAATTTTCTGTGAATAATGCCATCAACATTAGCACTAGTGTTGAGATCAATAGTTATATCAAATATACTCAAATGAACATAGCATGCCAGATGAACTCATGAAAATTGGGCCCCAATGGCATGTTAGCTAGCTTATTATCTAAAAAAAATTAGTAGCCATATAAAGGAAATCCATTCAACAACTACAAACTAACACTAGAAAGAAACACAACCTGGAATTTATGAAATAAATTATTTAAGACTTTGTTCTTAATTTAAGCTTGTAATGTGTATAATATATCTACCTGTTTCTTTTCACATGTTGTGTAACACAACACATTCATGCATGCTTTGTTATTGCTTCAGCAGCAGCTTGCTAATTAGAAATATAATTGTTGAATTGATAAATATCGGTGGAACTGGATCAAGTTTAGATTCATGGTTGCCAGGAAAATGGATTTAACTATTAAGACTGGCCCACAAACAAAAACACATAAGCAGCCTGAGTTTTTTTTTTTGAATCTAAGCAGCCTGAGTTGATCATACTGCAAATGCACATTTTTTTCTTGAACTATGCAGGAGAGTTGCGTGTCATTTCATTAAGATAGAAAAAAGATACAACGAGTCGAGATTAGGAAGAACCCGGACCTGAGGTACCCCACACACACACAACACTCAGAAAAACAGACTATGCCTTCTGTCCCAGGGAAAAAACACGACCACCTGATCACATTTATGTTGGGGAATTGCTGAAGGCCAGGATCCTGCAACGAAAAGGTACAACACTTTGTTTGCCTTTGCTAGGCCAGCTTCATCCAGGACATGGTAGATTATTCTTGTAGAATAAGGGATGTAAAAATAACCATGCTACTCCATGCCAACTTCTCTTGAGTTACACTGGTTAGACAATTTAAGTCCAGGACTCGATGAAACCCATGTCACCAGTACGGGTTCGAAGGCTGGCACAAACTTCTTAAGGGAAAAAGCAGGGCGACGTCTCTCCCCCTGGTTGAGTATTTTTTAACTATGCTACTCCATGGATGAAGTAGAACAAATGGAACTAGTTTCAACAAGCGAGCTCTAGTTGTATATGTAGGTACATCAAGTCTCTTAGGTATCCAGAGACCCTCAAGATTCACACAAGCACATTACCATGAACCTAAGATGAGATGCTCATTTCAATTTCCGAAGCTTGCGTCACTCAGGGAACATTTGATGATGGTAATAGTACATGCACCCACATGTACAAGTGGAATAAACATTTCGCAATTGAGAATACCACAATGTTAAATAAATGACCAAAAGTCTGGAACTTAGACTGTTTAAAATTATTTTTTTAGAACTTTCAAGGGATAGTAATCTCTAGGGGTCAATGACACGTGGAAATTTACTCCCAAAAAGAGTTACACGTGGAAATTGAGTTAACTGTACTTCAGAGTTTAGATTTCACAAATTCTAAAAGAAACGCAATACTATGCCACAGAAATGACTGAAGCACATTACCCTGCCCGGGGATCCCTCACAATCCTCTGTAGACTCCTCACAGTTTCAATGTTGTGCGCATAAACATCTAGGCCGGAGTTTGCTAAAGATGAAACAGCCTCCAGGTCACCTCGAAAATCCGAGGTTAAGCACTCCACCAGTATTCCAGGTTTGAGCTCCTGAAGAGAAAATTCAGAAAACATCGGCCAGAACATTTACCCAAGTTCAAATTCTAACAAACTAAGACACAGAAAAATGCATGGGATAAGGCAGACCTTCAAAGCTCTCACTGTCTGAGCAAAATGGCTACTTCCACCATCAGGCAAGTCATCTCTATCGACACTGGTTAGCACAACATAATCTACTCTGGAAAGAACAACATTCCTTAGATCAGCCATGTAATCAACCACATAAACAGCAAATGAACAGTGATTAACATACAACTTATAGTAAAAATCCACTGTTGTGTTATGTCTACTTTGATATCGCCAATTACAATTGCATCAATTAGTCGCTCAGAATTATGAGAACCTAACAGTTTTTAATCTGCAGATGATCAATCAGGCAGGATTACTAGAGATCATACCCCCAGCTTGCAACAGCCAAAGCCGTGTTTAGGGGCTCCAGGGGATCCGGCGGTGGCGGCTTGTTGCTGGTCTTCACAGCGCAGAATCGACACCCGCGCGTGCAGGTGTCACCAAGCACCATGATGGTGGCCGTCGCGATGCCGTCCCCTTCGCCGCCGGCCCCTCCACCTCCGTTCCAACACTGCGCCCCCAAAAGCAACCGGTTCCGTCAGAACTCAACACTAAAACCAAAGCGCGCTCCTCTCGCACAAATCGCGCGGATCAGCTTATGCTAGGCTGACGGGTAGGTACTGACGCGATGTGCGTCACGCGGAGGGAGGCATCCGTGTGCGTACCTCGCCGATGTTGGGGCACTGTGCCTCAACGCAGACGGTGTTGAGCTTGAGCTCGCCGATGGACTCCCGCAGGCGAGCGTACTTCTCCCCCTGCGCAGCGCGCTGCCGCAGCCACGCGGGCTTCTTCACCTCCGGGTCCCTCCCGGTGTACGGGCCCGCAGGCGCCCTAGACGCCGTCCCCACCGTCGGCGCCGCCTCAGCGCGGCACCGTGCCACGGATACCGAGCCGCGTGGGGCCCCGTGGCCCCGTCTACCGCAGCATCCGGCCAGTACCGGCGGCCGCAGCGGCCGCGCGAGCGAGCTCTGCATCATTGCCGGCGGAATCGGACGCGGCGTCGTGGTGCGGTGTGTAGCCGTGGTCCGTGGAGGCGACGGGTTCCAAGCGGAGCGGAGCGGTGAGGTTTTAGCGTTCCCGTTTTACCCCTTGTGTGTGAGCAAACAGGGGAAGGCCGGCGATGATACCAAGGTTGGTTTGCTTGGCTGGTTTTTGATCGCCTGCCTTCCTGGCTCCTGCTGCTGCTTGTTCCTGGCTTTTGTCGTCGTTGCGAGAAATTGGGTCAAAATGTGGGTGTGTTGGTAGGTCAGTGTCTCAGAGATCGGAAGATACGGCAACGAGCCTGCCCTAAACGAGGCCACGGTTGGTTGAACAACGTTTGTAGAATTGTGGTGTTGGAGGCTTAATTTCCATTTGATCAAGTTTAGCGCCACTTGGAATGCGCTAACTCCAGCAAATGCAGGATTTTACCCTGGATTTCTAGTGCTAGGGAATCAAACGATTTTTTTTTTGGTTCAATTCCAAACAACTCCTGACATTTACAAAGGATGCTCAGATCAGATGTGATTATTTGAACAACCTTCTGTATGAACTTGATCACGGTATGAGCGTCATATCCATCTAGGCAACCTTTTATGCCCTGCTATTAAGAAAAATCTAAGCGCAACAGGATGAAACGAGAATCAATTCATACCTTTTTCTTTTGCATGCAAATGCAATTCTTTAAACAATAGAGCAACTGCAACTTATTGATTCAGACGAACGAAACAGTCAATAATAATATCAATATTTTCATATAATGGAGCTGACAATTAGCATTTCTGAAAGAACGGATTCAAGCTGGAACAGCACAGTTCGCGAATGCAGACGGCTCCACACTCCGCTAGGAATATAGGGGAACATGATGAAGGCTGACAGCAAATAATCAACAAAAAGAACAAAGCAAACATTTGCACAAAGACTAGCGGCCAAGAGCCCAAGACTCAGGAGTAGCTCAATAACAGTATGTCAGTATTATAAATAAATACCCAGTAAATGTGCAAACCAGTCCAATGACCTACGAAGAACATCAACTGTAGAAATGTAAAAGGGTACATTTCCTGTTCCAGTATTCCACTATAACAATATCAGTGGGCATCTGGATCTGAAACCTTAGACGACTGAAGGCCAACTAGAAGAATGTATCTTTACCGAAGCCTAACAAGAGTACTCCATTGTTCGAACACAATTTGATCTAACTTAAGTAAACAAGACGCTAAACCACCCCCACATACTTTGACAGCTGATACTGGGCACCTTCCACACGTGAAAAATAACAAGCAGAAAGTCCCTGATAACCCAACCTGTACAATCACTGCTAAACTGGTAGGAATGCAAATGTGCCTGCCCGTTCACCGGAGGTCTTCTTCTCAGGCTAAAAACAACGCCCACTATGGTCTTCTTCGCTGGAGCAGATAAATGTTAAAAACTAAATTGCCCCATGACCACCAGTTTCAACACTGCACAGAGTTACAACAGTATAGGTACGTACATGCATAGTCTATTATAATATCATCAGGTGGGTGCTATATTAAATGACCCACATAAGGGAGATTTCACTGGTCTATTCAATTACTCTGAAGTCTGAAACCTAAACTTACGTCACAACCTGAAGTGAAGGCTACTTTCCTGAGCAAATGGAACTACTCCAAGCTCGCTCACAACTTATAATGGGGCATGCATGTCTTCAGATACAATAATTATCAACTGAAGACCATCTCATCAATGTTTAAAGCATTGACTCTTTGCCCTTGTGTGTCTCCTTCAGTTACATCAACCAGGAACAGATTCTGAAGTGATGTGCCCACCTCTAGCACCCGAGGGATTGAAACCTGTTACTGGCATGGATCTCTGAGCAAAATCAAGAAGCCGCTGGCGTTGCTGCTCATTTGTATGAGGAAGGCTTGCACGAAGTAGCTCAACAGGCATCTCCTTACTAGTAGCTTTGGAAGCCTCAGGTCCAATTCCCGAGCTTGGTGCCTGCATGACAAACATCTGCTGAATGCTTTCAAACTTACTGACACAGTATTTTGTTAGAAGCCCAAAGAAAGCATCAAACGATGCCTGCCAGAGAGCACGGTTTGGCACAGTGTAGCTGGCTGCAGCATGGCGATCAGTCAGTAACTCAGTTGCTCGATCCAGTACTGATTTAATAACTAGAGAAGCCCCATCACCAGCAGAGCTACCAAGAGGGCGCAGGGGTGGCTGTTCAGATGAACAGACAACAGCAGCAAGACAGGCACTAAGAGGACCAAGTTCCATGTGATGCACACAAGACGAAACAGCCTTCGCAAGAGCAACTGTAGTTTCTGCTGCACTCGAGTCTGATGGCAAACCCCCAAACAAGAACCTCAAATGGCGAAAAATAGCCATGCATACTATCCGGGTCAACTCGCTGCCAGGGACAAGAAGCCGAAGGTAACGTGCTAAAAACTTACGTCCTTTGGGCAGAGAAACAATGCGAAGAAAAACAACATCGTCCTTCAGGGCTAACCCAGATGAATGACCAGATTTGCTGGGTCCGAGAGGATCAACAAACTGCAGTGATGCTGCTAGACCTTCCAGGAGGACTTGCCGTCTTCGCTTCAGTTGGAAAATGTTGTCCTGTGACTGGCTAGACTGCAACAGACGGTCAGTGTCATCAACCTCAAGAAGAAGGCAAAGGGCGTCTTCAACAGTGACTCTTGCTGCAAGCATTGGTTCTTTCTCCAGGGGCCTCACAGTAGACTTCTGATCATGAGAGCCATCAGCAGATGAAGGATGGTCAACTTCAAGAAGAGACCGAGGCCTACGTATGGAAGAGAAAGATACTCTTCCAAGAGCATCAACCTGAAGATATGTGTGCTGATCACTGCTGGATCGAGATTTGGATGGTATATCTTTCATTGATGTTGGGGAGAAATTGGCCTTTTGCTTAGATGTGGCGCCCCTTTTTGCCATACAAGCTTGATGGTAGTAATCAACAACATAAGGATCACTGTTGTGACTTGCGGAATGCTGCATCCTTAAGATTGATTCAATCTCTTCAGATGACATGTACTTGGATCTAAACTTTATACCTCCGCTGTCACCATTCTGGCTACCAGTATCAGATGGTGGTTGAGAGAAGCGACTGCTATGCTTTCCCCTCCCCGACCTTGATCTCTTGTCTCTTGATGAATGAGAACTGCCAACAGAATCAAACCTACCTGTAACCTCTGCAGAGTGATGGGGATATAGCAGGTGTGGAGTTATATTGAGGTAATTCTGATGGGGTGATTGGACCTGTGCCAATCTCTGCTGATGCTGAGAAAATAGGAGTGACGGCATTGGGCTATTAGGAAGTGATAATTGTTTGTGCAATAGGTTGGGCAGTAGATTAAGATGTTCCCCAGTGAAAGGGTTACCATGGTTCGACCAGTCATTTTGCACTGGATTGTTTACAGGCAGGTTAAGAGCACCGTAAGGCATTCCTCCCGTGTATGGCAGACCATGAGATGGTCCGACCATATGGTATGGAGAAGCAGAAAGTGACATGCTCGGAGAACCCATTTGGAGCCCAGCACCAATTGATGGAATGCTCCCATGACGTGTAAGGCCTTGAGCAGGGTAAGGGGATCTACCACCAATAGCAACAGGTGGTGGGAATGAGGTAAATGAAGATGTCTTTGGTAAAACGATAGGCTCACTTGACCGGTGCTGCAGTGGCTGCTGAGGGTAGGAAGATGTTCGACTTAGTGGTCTGGAGTTGGAATCCCCTTGCTGAACTGAAGAATTGGATGACCACCATCTTTTACTTTCGTGGAATTCCCCATTTTCAAATATGTCTTGATCTCCCCAGTTTGAAAACTCCACATCCTCAGCCCAGTCAACAGTTAAAGAACCTGAAAAGGTTATTGCATGGTTCAGTGACAAATTGAAATTTAGGAATATATGAAATCTGATTATCTGACAGAAAATTCTGCAAAGAAAATTCTTAAGGCAATAATTATGTCAGACTCTTGATACAATAAAGATTCCCTCAAATTCACAGTTACACATGTTAGGCTATTTTTTTCTCTCGATCACACAGGAGAGATGTGTATCTTTGTATTAAATAGAGAAAAAAGGAAAGAGTCCCATACAAAACAGCCTCCTTACCTCACCCAGGCTAAACATTACACAAAAAATATTATATATATATATATATATATATATATAATCAAACGATGAGGCACAGCAGAAAGAACATATAGTCAACAACGAACTGACAATTCTGAAACCACTATAGTTTGAGCATCAGACTTCAGACCAGACATACCACAACATAAACACCATAGTATTAAACTTCAGAGCAGCATGCCATAAGGGAAGAAATATCACTCACTTCCTCTTGAAATGGATCTCCTGTCCCCAATAACACCAGGATTCCGGATTCCACTAATGCTTCGGTTCAACTGCCAGTGAAAAGTGTGAATTTTCAGGGTGTGCCAAGTAACAGAAAGAAAACATAATTGCAAGCAAGCACAAAAGGAAAGGCTAAAACAAAGCCATCCATAAACCAATCCATGAGGAAGCAATACAAGATTACCCTCAGAAAAAAAATATCATCCTTAAAACATGTTCAATTGCCACAGCCTACGGATATAGGGGCAAAACAGCTTTAACTGGTGCCTAAGATTTGAAAAGTGTAGGTCATCATTCATATCATTGTCATGCCAAAAGTGCAAACATGTGTTTAAGCTGTGTCATCATCCAGTCCCGCTGGGGGCACTGCCTCACTGGTACATCGCCTAATAAAAGCCTGTTAACTATGGCGATAGCGCCATAAAGGTTGCATTTGAATTATGGCCTCAAGTTCCATTCAGAACTCAGATCGATTCAATTAACAAAATATGCATAACCATTCTTCTCATATCGTTTCAATTACCTAGATACAAATTTGAATGAGAGCTAGCTACTCATATAACCGGGCCCAGAAAAATCTGCTATTAAAAGGGAGCATACACTCATCAAAGCAAATACACCAAAGCCAGATAAAGTTAAGTTTCCAAATAAGAATCTCAAAACAAGTAACATACCTTAGCAAAGGTGCTTGCAAGATCATCAATGTCAGACAAGTTACTCAGATCGTCAGTCTGCATAGCACAGTAGTTGGGATTGAAACATATCATGACTTCATGAGGGTATAAATATTGAGCTTCAGAATTCAGAATGAAAAGAAATCAAAGCACTAAAAAAGTGTCATGCACAGCAGTATAGGGAGCGATCCCAGTTACACATGCATGCACCTCTCAAAGAACATCAGCTTCAAAGATTGAACAGTACAGCTACTTCATCACTAAATATTGTATGTAGACTTTGATCATCATAATTAACTCCAAGTGACAGTTTCAAATGTGCTCTTTAATTCCAAGTAATTAACTCGTACCCACTAAAAGTTGGATATGTTAATTTGTCATTAGCTACCAACATTTCAACAAGTAGCACTATCGTCAACACTTGGAACCAGTTCATTGTAAAACAAAGCCTTATGGTTATCGTCGCAATCAACTATGGATCCCAAAACGCAGAAGATAAGTCAGTTTGTGCCTGAAAAAAATATTTGAGGGTGGAGCAGCACAATGAAAAGTATTCCAGAAGCTCAACCACACCAAAATCTCAAGAAAGGCCACTGTGAACACTATTTATTTCATTATTGTCACTTCATCCAAATAGAGCAATCAGTGTTACTACCCTTTCCTAAAAAACAACATCTACAATGTTCTAGTTATTCTCGATAGTGCCTTAACAATCCAACAAAATGATGTGTGCAAGAATACTCTTCTTCCATCTCTGTCGTGAACAACTCAATCCAATAACGAAGCTAACCCAATCCAATAACGAAGCTCTTGTGCTACCAAGCAAACTTAAAACCATTTATTCCACACATCTAGGGTGCCTACGACCAAGCACACAATATATTCTGGATGTGAACCTCAATTCCACTAAATTTTGGAGCACTACTGATGTGAACCTCAATTCCACTAAATTTTGCCCTTGCGGCCCACAGGAATATATTCTGGATTGCTCCCCGCACTAATCTTCCACTATCAGTCAGGCCATGCAAAAATTGACAGGTACCGAGAAAGAAATAAAGCATCCATGGGAACCAAACGCACAAACGAGGAACGGGAGGCACACAATTTATAAAGAAATAATATGGCCAACTTTGTAGATATGATGGTTCTGGAATCTGCACCTCATCTCCAACAGAGTTCAGCCGGTACAGCCCCTCATCTGGCCCACCGAATCCACCGCCATTGCCATCACTGCCGGCTTCCTCCAAGCCCCCGAGCTCGAACCCGTCCAGTGGCTCCTTCCCGAAGAAGGCGTACTGCTCAGCGTCAAAATTCTCTGCAGCAAGAAACGTCAGATCATCTCAGCATCGGCAAGAGACGACTTTGTTCAAGAGCAACAACCACGAACTAAACGCAAGAGCATCACAGGAAACAATTCCCACAGACAAAATCGATTTTTTTGTTAATATTCTTGAACCCAAAGGCCTCACTGGAACAATTCTCCATCGGAGCCCGAAAATTCGCATCAGAAACACCGCAACAGAGGCGCCGACCAGAGCACCCACCAAATCGACCCGAACAGCACCACCACCAACAACAACCGAACGAACCGGCGACCAGACCAAACGCGGCAAGAAACCCACCAGCGCAGCGGATTCAGCGGCCAGGAGCCTCACCTGCGGCGGCGGAGGAGGACGCGCCGCCTCTGCCCTCGGGCTCGACGCCCAGCATCTCCGCAGGACCCCTAGAAGCAGTAGCAGCAGCGCCGGTAGCAAGCGGCGGCGCGCATCTGGGGCTAGGACCTGTTGGCGCGATTTCCTTCCGGGCTTCGGATCTGAGAGCTGGGCGAGGGAAATAGAGAGAGAGCTCGGCCTCGGCTGCTGCTTACTTCTCACCTCTCCCTCTCTCTGTCTCTCTCCTGCTTTAAATACAAAATATTTCCGAAATACTAGACGCGGCAGGTGAATTTATGACTCCCAAAGAAAACTATACTCCTTCGAGGTTCGAGGTAGTACTAACAGGCTTCTGAAAAATAGGATCTCAAATTCCGAGGCACATCAAGGGAAGAAGAAAGAGAGGGGTAGTAGGCAATTGTAGTCGCAACAGTGGAGCAACTAGAGGGAGATTGGCAATTGTAGTGGTAGATGAGACGCTGAAGAAGGGATAAGATCACGAGGGAGGGAGGAAGAGGGCTTTCAGTCTGGCTTGTATGTCACTCTATCTCATTCTCACCTATCTCTCTCTCTTTTAGGTGATGTTTGATGCAGTGACTAAAATTTAGAAGATGTGTTGAAAGGAGGTTTTATGGGGTGTTTGGATATTAATAAAAAAACAAATTACATAATCTGTTAGTACTCTACGAGATAAATTTTTTAAGTCTAATTAATCCGTCATTAGCGCATGTTTACACTAGCATCATATTATCAAAATCATGGACTAATTAGGCTTAAAAAATTCGTCTCGTAAATTAGTCGTAAACTATGCAATTAGTTTCGTAATTAACCTATATTTAATACTCCATGCATGTGTCCAAACATTCAATGGGACAGCGACTAAAATTTAGAAGGGGCAACCAAACACTACCTTATTTGTACGTGTCAATGGTGCTTTTCACCTGTTTCATGGTTTCAAATTGGGTTAAAACTAATAGCAAGTAAAATGTTGTTTTTCTCTCAAACAAACCAAAGACTAACAAATCATAAAACCAACCCAGAAACCAACTAACGAACAGGTCGTTTATCTTTCTCTCTCTTTCTCTTTCTATAGGATGCATTTTTTTAATTAGACAGGATTGCTTAGTCTATTTTATTTTATTATTTTGGTGTGGCTGCTAATCTAGCTCTGTGCAGCTCCAGTACCATGCTTTCTCTCTCCTCTATGATTGTTTGTCTCACTAATGGTGGTATTGGGTGTGGATTTGGCATTGGGCTAGCAGTTGGTTAGTGGTGAATGGTAGGAGGAACCATTGTTAATGGAATGGGTGTGTGAAAGTAGGTCCTGATTCTCCGTACTAGGCGGCCTCTGAGTGTGAGCGCTTCCTCGGATTCGATTCTCTGGCGATCTTGTCAGTTTTTTTTATTACAAGATAACTTGGAGAAAAATATGAGGACAGAAATCATACCAATCACAGTACAAAATGGGGCAAATATACCTCCGGCAAATTTTAATTTTCAAGAGAAAAAAGAGCTATTATAAAGTGCATTTGGATTTTCTCATGCCTTTAGGTCAAATAGAGATTCTGAAGTACTATTAGCATTCATGCTAGAAAAAAACACTCCAATACGTAGTGTGATTTTGTTATTTCATATGCCAGTCATAACAATTAATCTGGTGCATGTGATTGGACATAGATTCACTGAAACAAAACTCTCTATCCCCCAATATCAGTTTTATTAGTACCTACCAAGTTTCATCCAAATAAAATACATCCCCTTGCCATTCGTAAGCCATAACTATGTCATCCAATTTTTTTCCTATACGGCACCTTATTTAATGATAACGAAACCTTCATTCAGACTCACCTTAAGCTCAAACCGCTATAAAGTCATGTAGACCTAGGAGGCTGTTTGGTTGCCGGCCTTGGTTCGCCTCGCCTGGGCTTCGGCGGCCACAGGAAAGCAGGCGGCTGCTTGGTTCGTAATTAATGTGCGGCACGCCACACGATCTTCAGTTCATTTCTAGCGCTTTTCTCGCCACAGCGGTGGCGTTGTTTTTGTCCGCCACAAAACTGTGGCGCCGCCACACTCCTGGTGGCTCGACGCGGCCAGCAACCAAGCAGCCCCTAATACATTCCTAAGTGTTTGCCAAATCATATATGCTACTCTTTCCGTTCTAAACTAACATTTTGTTTTTTTCTAGATTTATAGTATTTGTTATGCACTTGGATACATATTACTATCTCTGTCCCTAAAAGAATGCAACTATGGGTTGCGCGCCACTCTGAGTGCTTCACGTTTGATCGAGTTTCTAGTAAATAATATTCACAATTATGGCTCCAAATTAATTTATTATGAAAATACATTTCGTAATTAATCTAATGATATTTATTTTATATTATAAATATTTATACTTTTTATCTATAATTGGTCAAATGTGATATACTAAAATATGATATTGTTTCATAATTGCATTCTTTTGGGGACGGAGGGGGTATGTATAAACACATAGTAAAAGCAATGTATCTCGAGAAGTCAAAACGTCTTATAATTTAGAACGTAGACGGTACATCATAAGAGTTCAACAATATTTATTTATTCATTATTTCTTTTTAAAACCATTTCCCTTGAAAAAACAATGCTTGAAAGACTACATGCAAACTACAATGCACGTCAGAGTATCCGATTCAAATTCATAGTGTGGTTTCTATTTGTCAACTCCTATTTAAAACTCTATCACAAGTTTAACGTTTAAAATCTTGTCCTTGCTACTCCATTTTTTCCACAATATAGAATTATAGATATTCGATCTTTGATGTATCTATTATGAATTGATAATACGATAGTGAAAGCAACATGTCCTTAAGTTTCCTCCATGCATGATTGCCATACCACAAAAACAATCACGTGACCATAGACCCCACCGCCCCACTTTGCCACCCTCAAGTTAAATGATATACTCCATCCATTATTTTTTACATATCGTATTAGCTTTCTCGTCAAACATTTTCATCTTTGACCATAAATTTAAAAAATCCGTATAGTTTCACGGCATGTAAATTATATTTTATGAGTATTTATGAGCCTACGACAATAGTAGCAATGACGTTAGCAAAATCCTGAACCTGAAAGTGAGTTACCTTGTCCACTTTCGGTGACTCTTAATTTCGAGAATTCTTTACTCCGAACATTGCAGAATAAAGCTTCAAGCAAAGGGAAGACAAGCATGGTGCAAGTTGTGGTAGTATAGAGTTGCAACTTGCAACCAAAGTCGTTTGCTGGATTGTCGAGTGGGGTTGACGCTATTCTCCTAACCATTTTCAGCAGAGCAAGCCATCAAGCCTCAGGACTTCCAGTCCACACAGAGACCATTTCAATCCAACTGTTGAGCCTTTTCAAAAAGCTTTCCGTGCCGAAACTGAAACAGCATCAGCATCTAGAAGGAAGTTGTCAAGGAAAGAGTTGGTACCAAACATGATGCTCCAAAAAGCAGCACGCGCTGTTTTTTATTTAAGGACGAAAGCTGAGATATGTGGACGGCAGCGCTGCTGGATGCCGTTTTGGGTGGTGCAGCAGGGGGTCCTTTTCTCTGCTTTTTTCTTGTTTTCCCTTTGATGATATTAGAATTATTGGTAAGTGGAATATTCTTTGTCACGGGAATGGCTGCAACGAATATGTTCCGAGGAGCCTGATCCAATCATCATCAGATTAAAAGCTCCAAATGCTACCTGCACACCCAGCCTCAGTTTGGCCAGGAATTCATCTGAGGAATTGTTATGAAAATACAGAAATAGTATGAACTTTGAAGCCTGAAGGGTTTGTAAGATGAATTTGTTTTGTATAATTCCTAAATTTAGCGCACTCACTAATTTTGCATCTCTCTGGTCTAGTCTAGGTACAGAAACTAGAACAGGTCTTCTGCAATTTTCTGCATTCGTCTGCGGCAAAATAAGACTCGTGCAGTATGTATTTAAATTTTTCAGTCTTTTTTTGGAAGATCCATACCATCCCCAGCTGAATATTCCGAACAACTCGTTTACTACTGTCTGGTACAGTGCAGCACAGCACAGTACGTACGTTGGTATGAAATAGACCCAGGGCCAGGATATTTTAAAACGCTGTTGATGTCAACACAGAAACATACAAATAGGCCGGACAGTATTTGCATGGCTCCCAATTTTTCTGACGACCACACCACCACGCCCTTTCCGTTCCTCCCCCGTCTAGATAGACGAGGCCACCAAACGCCACGCCATGCAGCCAAAAGGCGCGCCACGTACGCGGGCGAGTTAGTTGGGTGGCCGGGGCCGTCGGTATCTTTCGTTCCAGGCAGGCACCGCGCACTGGCGCTCGTGGTGATCTCCCGGCGTGCTTATCCGCAGCCAGGAGGCATTGGCGCTGGGAAAAAGGCCAAAAGTGCCGCGCGCGGATGGTTGCGTCGCGTGTCGTCCTCTGGCTCGGGTCCTCGTTTTGGACAGGCCGCTCGCGTCGCGTCCCCCCTGCTCCCGTCTATTTTTGTCCCGGCCTCAGCTATGTCATTTTCCGCGGCGGAGTTTGTTCGCCGGCTAGACGACATGGTCCGACCGACGATGTGCCGAGTTGGTTGTTCGGTTTCCTTTGGCAGTTCGGTGCCGTTGCCGTCGGTGTGGTGTCCAAGTGTGTGACTTTGTGAGTGCGAGTGCACTGCTTGGAAATGACCGAACGGAGTGTTGTAGTTGGGGCCTGTTTACACGGTGAAATTTTTTGCAAAATGCACTGTAGCACTTTTCATTGTTATTTGGTAATTAGTGTCCAATCATAGTCTAATTAGGCTTAAAAGATTCGTCTCGTGAATTTCGTCTAAACTGTGTAATTAGTTTTATTTTTTATTTATATTTAATGCTTTATGCATGCGTCCAAAGATTCGATGTGACGGAAAATCTGAAAATTTTGGCAAAATTTTCTGGAACTAAACTGGACCTTGGTGAGATTGGGGATTCAGGACAGAGATAGCTAGCATACGAGCTTGTCGTTTTTGGACGGTACAAAGGGGAAGGGAAAGCGCTTCTTTTCCCCCAAACTTCACATCCGCCGGAG